GTTCTATTTTATTCATCAGTTTATTTTGTTCATTAGATTCCTTGTTCATTTATTTTCATTTTTAGATTCAATTGTTGATAGATGTGTATTTATTGCCATTTATTATTCATATGTATGATCTTTTTTCTTCTCCTTCTTTCTCTTCTTAAAGAACACCCTTCAACATTTCATGTAATACTGGTTTGGTGGTAATGAGCTCCTTCTTTAGCTTTTTCTTGTTTGTGAAGCTCTTTATCTGACCTTCAATTCTAAATGAGAACTTTGCTGGGTAGAGTATTCTTGGTTGTAGGTCCTTGCTATTCATCACTTTGAATATCTCTTGCCACTCCCTTCTGCCCTGCAGTTTCTGTTGAGAAATCAGCTGGAAGGCATATGGGTGCTCCCTTGTAACTAACTGCTTTTCTCTCTGGTTTTAAGATTCTTTGATCCAGACCACAGTGTTCCAGCTGCTGTGTGGGTATTACTGTGTATATTAGATCTAGAATCTAATTAGTCCTCAGACCCCCGGAAGTAGAAAGATCTCCTGTGGGTGTGCCGCTTGTGGAGCTAAATGGGTTGTGCTCTGGTGTAGTCTGAAGCCCTCCACTGATGTGTTGGTTCTGGCGCCTCTTAGGAGGGACCAGGGTAGGTCAATGTCAGACGCTGCCTTTCAGAGCTTTGGGCTACTTGTCAGGACCAACCGAGTGACCTGCAGCTTGTGGCTGCCTATGCTGGGCCTGGGTGGCGTGGGGTGATCCGAGCTGCGCACCAAGGCTGGCTTCCCCCAACACTGAGTCTGGGGGCAGGTGAGCACAAGGCCCAAGGCGTCCTGAGACCCACCTCGGCCTGGCAGCTGCCTGTTAGGCCCAGTCACTGGACGAGCCTCGGGGAATAGGCAAGTTGCATGAGAGAGGTTCTCAGTGAGTCCCCAGGTAGGGGCGCATGGTGTTCACCAGGTTGATACAGATTCAAATTTGGTGCCAGTGCTGTGTCTGAGGGCACTCAGCACAAGTCCCCAGGTGCACCAAGGCCAGCCGCCTCCTGCCTGGGATGCACGGACCTGTGGTGGGGCAGTCTCAGGGGGTCAGTAGGATGAGGCCCGCAGAGTTCATCAGGCTAAAGAGACCCAGGTTTGGCTGTGTGGGAGAGCACCACACAGGAAGATGGGTGCCGCTCAGGTGCATGAAGATGGAATGGCCCCCCTCCAGCCCCATAACTCAGTCTCTGACATTTTAAAAAGCAGAAACTGTGTGATTAAAGCAAATGTGACAGCAGATATCATGAAAGGACAAAAACAGATAGGAACACAGACAGAGTAAGTTGATTCTTTTTTTCAGAGCGAAAAATGCATGTGGTTAAAGGAAATAACTTATCTCAAACATCTTACATAACTTATAATATTACATGCAACATTTATGTATAATTACAGTAACATAATTGTCACAATATTACAGCTGTATTTAAATAATCTTGAGGAGGAGTTATGAACCAGCAGAGCTGACCCTGAGCAGCGCAGGAAGGCGCCTACCTTCTCCAGGTCCGGCTCGCGCAGAGCTAAGGCCAGCTCATTGTTGTCCATCACCGAGGCTGCCGCCACGTCCAGGGGCGTCGACCCTCTCATCGCTGGCGAAGCTGTTAATCCAAATGAAGAGGAAACAAAACCTGGATTGGGCTGCAACTATGAATTCCATGTAGAACACACTTTTACTTAAAATTTAATTTCAAAGTGCAATACATATGGCGCTCCTCTGAGTTCATTGACATTACATTGAAATATGTATATTATTTTTATCACAAAATTTAAACAAAAGTCAAACCCTTACTTACCTAGACCAACACTGCTGTTTTCCAATAAGTAACTGAGATGGTCAAACATAGCTTTTTGGTTCTGCCGGCTTATCCGACAGAAGTAACAGAGGAAACGACAACAGTTGGCTACCATCTTGGGAAAAGTGATCTCCTGCATAAAGAGCATTTAATTAGCTGTGAAAGCAAATCATCTTTACAAAATCGAGTCACATTGTTAACCCGTGCGTGCCCATGTCTGCAGAGCCTTGGCCCGAAGACCTTCCCACTTCCAGACTCTGACCTACCTGTCCCTGAGCCCCAGAAGAGCAAGCCTGGCACTAATGTCGAAACCTCATCACCATCAATGGCTGGATTTGGCAGTAATCTACAGCCCAACCCAAAGGAGGCATGAGCCCAGGTTAGGAATCAGACAGACTCGGTGTGACTCCTGCCCACTAGCAGCTGTGCCTCCTTGGAAAACTGCAAGCTTACTAACTTGGTTATGTAAACCTGGAATTAGGAGGATAATACTGCTCACTTTGGACAAGAAAGGCAGACGTAAACGAGGCAGTCTGTGAAGAACGCCCAATGTAATATTTGGAACCATAGGTTCTGATCATCAGTGCTGCCACTGCGGTTATCATTAAAATTCCAGGTATTCACAGTCTCCCGATGGCACAGGACTCCTCCGCTCTAAGGAGCACCCTGACCGGAAGCTGGACCCCATCAGACACATGTCCTTTAGAGCCAAACCCTGTTCTAGGATGCTCGATGATGCCTGGGGTCCTTCTTCAACGCAGCATTTTATAAATATCTTTGTAAGTCTGTCTAAATGGTGACTGGACATGAGAATTATAGACTCATTTCCATATTTTGAAAAACACAGTGAAATTTCAAAAATTATTGAAATATATTTTGAAAATCAGACATTATAAAATTATACCAATTTATCTGAAGTTATTTGACATATTACTCTGTTCGCTTGGTTCTAAAGAACTTTATTTTAAATTTTAATCCCTTAACAATTCACTTTAGAGTCTTACAACAAATAGTCCAAGCATCATCCTCAAGTCTTGGTCTGGACCGGGAACTTAGTGCAGCCCCGGTTGGCAAGGGGAGTGGCTGGATCTCAAGGACATGTGTGTGCTATGCACGTGTAACATGAAGAAACTGACTTATAGTTCTAAATTTTAAATAAACAGTACAGTATTAACTTTTAAAGTTTCTAAACATCCCTTAAATGACAATAATTAAGGATACAGCAAGTCACACAGCATAGGATAAAAGTTGTTATAGATATTAAAGACAAAAAAACACTAATAGTACATCCAGCTCTCAATCTGTAAGGTTTTCCAAAAGGTGTCTTTTAAACAGTCCTCCGGAGAAGGTTTAAGACATGCATGCACTCAAGGAGGTGCAATCAACGCCACCCCAAGATTCGAAGGTTTTCCTTTACCTTGGACTCCCCACCGCCAAGGACGTTCACCATGACCTCCATCACTGTCTCGTGCATCCCCAGTGCCCTCATGAGGTTAGGGTGCTGGTAAAACACTTTATTATTCATAATGTCCCTACAAAGGAACACAGGTCAGAGCAAAATTTCAATAAAATATTTATCTGAAATCTAGTCAACTTTTGGAAATACTGGCATGTACAGAAAAGTAAGAGCAATCATAGTTAAGCCACAAAAGTTAATACTATTGAGTTTTCCTCAAAAATATTGGTAGCCTACCAAAAATAGTAAACAAGTTGTCTATTCTTTTCAATTACAAGAAATGTACTAAATATATAAACATTCACTAATATGAAATACAGTTTTGGACACTTATCATCCTAATTTAATGTATATCCAAATGTGTTCAACCTTCTTTTGTATAGAAATGAATCAGTTTCAACATTTATAGAAAAATTCCTATAAAAATTATTGATCTATGAGTATATCTGCTTTAATCCTTTTCATTATTTTTGCATTCTATTTGATCCATGTCAGTAGTCATCTTCATTATCTCATTTTTTATATGATATTTATATAGCTAGATCAGCTTTTCTTTTTTTTGCTAAATATTTGTGTTCTACATCACTTTTTCACATTCTACATTCCAGGATCCTACATCCTTATGTTAAAGCATTTTTCTTGTAAACGTCATATAGATTAATTTAAGCTTTCCTTTTTCTCTGGTATGTTAGTTCCCTCTTATTTTCATATCTCCAAGTTAATGCAAATTACTGATTGCTTAGACTTATGCAGATACACACCAATAATATACTCACTAAACACACTGCCTTCCATTCCTTCTTTCTGAATTCCGTTTTCCTTTCTCAAATGTACAGCCTTTAGGAGGCCTTTCAATGAGGGGCTGTAAGCAAATACTCTGAAATACCTGTTTTTCTCTCACTCTTGAATATGGATGTAAATTTCCTCTCCAAAACCACACAAAGCACGAGCTCATTGTGTGGGATCCTCCCCTGGTAACAATCCCACGCTGAGTCACGTTTTCCAGTCCTGCCGTTGAGAATTCTAAATATCGTTCCTTTGCAAGTGTTCTGGCTTTCCTCTCTACTTTATTCTAAAATGGCCTCTCCAGCTGTCAATGTGGAACTATTGGAGCTTTGTGAATCTGTGAATTCCCATCTCTCATCCACTCTGAAAAACTCAAGCCAATAGCTCTTCAATCCATCCTTTAGTCCCCGCATTGTGTCTCCTAGCAACCTCCTTCTGCACATGCGGGACCTCCTCTCACTATCCCTTCGGTCTCACAACTTCTCTTTTATACTTTCTCTCAGTGCTGCATTGCTGAGTAATTTCCTCAGCTCTATCACCTAATTCATTAATTTTCTCTTCAGCTATATCTTACCTGTAATTCAATTCCCTGTTTTTTTATATCAATTCTCATATTTTTCATTTCTAGAAGTTTATTTGGATCTTTCTCAAACCGTCCTGGACTTTTTGCAAGTCTTGTTTTTAGAGACTTCATTTATTCATTTACACACAGTGATTTTATGTTCTCTTTCCAACATCCTATTATCTGAAGTTCTTGGGGGAGGTGTTCTAACTCCATAGTTCATTGTAACTGCAGACCCTTATTTATGGTGAATTGTTTCCTATGTGTTTGCAGTTTTTTATTTTGGACTAACTTTTTTTTACTATTTAGGTTTTTTCTTGCAAGATTTCAGAGGAACTTGAGCGAAGAAAGCATACCACCGGGCCAATTTTTACATTCATTTCTCAGCTTGGGGTTCCTTAAACTATGCATAAGGTGTAAAGGTTAATCCCCAAATCTACATGAAGCACAAGTTATGATGCTGAATTCGCAGTTCCCATTCTTCCTTCACGGCCCAGTAGATACAGACAAACATTCTTATTGTTTCCTGCTGGAGAGTGTTTATCTCCTCATGGATTTTAGTGTGTTTTTATTAACCTGTATTTTTATATATGATTATACATTGCTGAGTAACTAATTAAAAAACAAACTCAAAGGTAATTGCTCTGTATCACAGCCATCTTTACATCTAGTTGTAAAATTAGACATGTTTCATTATTGAGCAACCTTCCTATTTAGCTTTAAAACATAATCTCTAAAAACAAAACAATCTAACTTAATGATCATGCAATCTAAAGAGCGTATGTTTATTAATGCACCTACTGTTCTGGTATTGGGATAATCAGTCAGAAAGAAGACACACGTAAGACAAAAGGCCGTAATGATTAAAGGTACCCTAGTCCCCGAATCATGAGCTTCTCCTCTTCTCTGCCCATCCTCACACTCAGCAGAGAGCGGATCTGGCCCAGGGAGGCCAGCAGGTTGATGGTGTCCTCCACGGAGACAGCGCTGATGGTGTAGGTCTTGGGCAGGGCCTGGACCAGGCCCCCGATGCCGTCGTACTGCCGGTGAAGCAGCACGAACATGGCCCTCACCAGCTCGGGGTCCTCGATGACAGACTCCTGAGCCCACCGCACCATCGTCTCAGAGATCAGCTGCTGAAGAGTGGCTGCGGGGTCATTGTTGATATTTTTAAAGAAGTAAAATAATAAGAGACGACATTAAAATGGGCATTCAACTGCATATTTCATAGTCCTAAACTCATATCTATATTTATTTGTACCGGAATATTTAGGAATATTTTTAGAATAAACTTCATTTAAATATATGTGTATATATGTGTGTGCATATGTGTGTATATATATATGTGTGTGTGTATATATATATGTATATATATACATATATACACATATACATACAGTACAATAAAGATGAGTTATAGGACATGCAAGAATGGAAATACACAAACTGACAAACA